CCTCACCCCCCCCTCCTACACCTACACTTACTAGCCTGTGTAAGAAAGATATACAGTATACACTTACCTATTTTCAGGCCACTCCCGTCTGGTCACTTGATTCCCTGTGTCAGCCAGAGGAGGGAGTGCTGACAGCAGATAGGACATTGAAGCCTGTGAGTGATGTCATCACTCCAGGCTTTACCAGCCATGGTTGGAATGTTCTCCTCTCCCCTGCAGCAGCTGCTGACTGACACAAGGGAGATCGCATGACCAGAGTGCTCAAAAAACAAGTGAGTATATACATCTCCATCTATACATCACATAGGTTAGTAAGCATACAGTAGGTGTTAGGAGAGGGGACAGGACAGTTTTAAGTGTAGTTAGGGTTAGGCTGAAATTCCACGGTTTACCTTTTGGGAGAAAATTAAAAGAAGAATATTTACTGTCGGCTTGCACTGGATTATCAGAATTAGAACTTGCCTAAGTCTCAGTTGTAGAAAAAAAAACTGTTTCTAGACATATACCAATTGGGCAGACTGTCTGAAAATTTCAGGACATTTATCAACATTGATTTTCAGATTAAAGACCATACTCATCACAAGCAATACTGTTCCACCAAGCCATGACTCAATGTCTGCTGTAAAATATTAGTCTTGGTGCTGGTTACTAAAAAAGCCCACAAAGTTCCCAAAACTAATGTCAAGTTAACTGTTTTTTTTTTTTTGACCTATTCAATTGTCCCCTTTCATAATACTACATAACCAAGCAGTGTGACCACAGCAGTCACACGGGATATAGTCACATCCTGAGCAAAACTGGGCTAACCACTTGCTATTGCTGTTATTACAACAAATAAAACTATAATGGACTATCGAATGCAATAAGAATTATTATTATTATTATACACGATTTATATAGCGCCAACAGCTTGCTCAGCGCTTTACAATATAATGGGAGACAATACAGCAACAATACAGTTCAATACAAGATGGATAGGAGGGCCCTGCTCCTTGGAGCTTACAATCTAGGAGAATTGTAGGTACATAGCACCAATCAATTGCCTTTATAGAAAACCAAGATGGTAGTATGGTGCCCCAGCCTCATGGAGTGTTGAGACCCTCTTGGTATTCACCACTGTCTCCTAAAACAGTCATCGTTGGTTTCTCATGTGTATCTAGCAGTGGCATGGCTAATCAGAGAAAGCAAGGCAAATATAAATGAACCCCCTCTTTATCCCAATTTTGTTAAGTGATAATGCAGGGCAAAGCAACAGGTTCACTTCCTCCCTTCCCCAGTAGCCTATGTACTATGGGGGTTATTTACTAAAACTGGAGAGTGCAAAATCTGGTGCAGCATAGAAACCAATCAGCTTTCAGGTTTTATTGCCAAAGCTTAATTGAACAAGCTGAACCTAGAAGCTGATTGGCTACCATGCACAGCTGCACCAGATTCTGAGTGCTCCAGTCTTGGTAAATCAGCCCCATTGTGTTCTTTTTGCTCCCCTGCTGCTCTATTCACCTACTGGAGGACAGGAATAATAACCTTGTGAAAGGTCAAGTCAGAACCTATATGGGGTTGACTGCCTGAGCCAATCACCAAGAATGAGTGCTGTTACATGAGGCGAGTCACATGCCCCTCCATGGATTTATGGCCACTGAACAGAGCAGTGTAGGAGTGAAGCAAAGTTGAGTATGTGCTGCTGGGGAGCCGGATTTAAGACTTTCCTGAGCTTTGCCCTACTCAGAGTCACACAGATTCACTTTTTAAGTCTTGGTTTACACTACTGTGACCTGAAAGTCGCGCGACCTACAGTGCAACTTTGCCAGGCGACTTGAGTACTACGACTTTCAGGGAATGCTTGGGTAATCTTCCTGTAATGTCGGATCCAAATCACATCAATATAGATGAGGATCCGACTTGGAGGCAACTTCTATTAAAGTCTATGGGTACAAGTCAGATAGAAGTTGCCTTGAAGTAGTACAGGAAACGTTTCTAAAGTCAGAGCGACTACAGTAGCGCTAACTAAGACAGCTCTCATTGACTAACATGGGATTTCATGTCATGGGACTCAGGGTCTCACAAGTCGGATCCCAAGTCACGGCAGTGTGAACCGAGCCTTAAAGTACATATGAAATCATTCAGAATAAATTAAGCCATGGGATCCTAGGCAGCAAGAAGATAATATACAAAACATTTAAGAAATAAATACACAAACCCATGTTCACTATGACCTGTACAGACAACTGAGAGCTCTAGGCGAAATGCTCGATTTGCTGGTCCAGTGTGGCTGGGTGCTGGTGTCTAGATGTGCATCCCAAGAAACAAAACAACTGTAGTGTGTAAAGGAGGCACCCTACCAAATAGACCACTGTGTGCTAATAATGGGAAGCGGCCTAAGCCTCAGGTCCTCCTAAGCCACACATGCTGACGCGTTTTACCCTACTACCCAGGGTTTAGTTGTGAAGGCGCGGGCAGGGTTAAACACATCAGAGGCAAGACAAAAGAAGAGCCAAGGCTGAATCCAGGGCCATGGATAATGGGGTACCACCAGTCCTCCTGTAAGGGGCCCAGGTCAGCAGAGGGGCCCAGACAGCTGGATGAATTGGATCTGGGCAGGGAGAGTGATTGGCACAGTGGAGGGGGGGCAATTACTGTAACCGATCCCCTGTATGGCTTTCCCTGCAGCAGCTGAAAGCTGGCTTCTTCCCTCTTCCTCCCACTGGCTTTCAGCTGCTGCAGAGAGAGCCATACAGGGTAACATTTACAGTAATTGCCCCACCACGATACACCCATCACCCTCCCTGTGCACCATACAGTTCCCCCTGCTGCCCCCACCCCTGTAATGTTGCTGGCTTCCCTCTTCTCATTCCCATCGGCAGCTGCAAGCATACAATAGGATCCTTCAGGATGGAGAGTGGGGGAAGGGTCTGGTAAATATGGCTCAGTTACCAGCCCCTTCCTTTCCTGAATGAACACAATGAGTAATTGGTACCAATGAATCACTGTGTTCTTTCATATTTTGAAGCATAGTAAACTGTTTTTTTTTGGGGGGGGTGGAGGGGGTTTGTCAGGTTGGCTGTATGGGGCCCTGTGGTTTCTAACAGCAGCCCTAGCTGCATCATACTATTCTTACATGCTGGGCTATTTGGTAGTGCAGCACCTATACATACACTACACAAACCAATATTGGCTTCGAAATTGGAAATGGCTCTTTATTATGATCACTGGGTGAAGTGCTAGATTTGTGGGTCCGGTGTGGATGGGTGCTGGCAGTCTGGAAACATAACAACTGTAGTGTGTATAGGCACTGCACTACCAAATATACGAGTGTGTGGTAATAGTGGGAAGCTGGCAAAGCCTCTGCTCCTCCTAAGCAACAAATGCTAATGCATTTCGCCCCACCCCAAGGCTTAGTCATAGAGGTCTCACCGCATTGTTCAGAATCTAGCCCAGTCACTTTGACTCGAGCCATATCCATAATTGAACTAGAAATAAATGCCCCCCTTGCTAACAAGGTGGTCCACCACATATAAAGGCTGCAAGAAAAGGGGCAGGTGGGTTCTCATAAGAAGCTCATATGTTTTTTTTTTTGACAGCTGGCTCTCGTAACAGCTCACCTCATCCTTTTATAGGGTCCCCAGACCCCTCTAGAATCTTCTAAAAGGTCCCCTGACTTTCCACATGTTTCCCCCCTCACGAGACACAGTTGTAGAGGAGGACCTAGAAACCTGTAGCTGCCACAATCCTATGCGAGAGACAGCCCCCCCCCCCCCCCCTTTTTTTTGCTCTCATTCCTTTTTTTGTGTTTGTTTTTTTAGTTAAAACAAGCAAAAATAATATTTTATTTTAGCTGAGGTGTGCAGATAACTGATTTTTGGAGCCTACATATGACCGTAGCAGCTGCTAGGCTGAGGTAGGTATCATCTTTTGTTTCAATTCGAACACAATTTTCATTATTTGGAGATTCGCTTGTATCCAAATTACATTGGTTAGGAATGTAAATGAATCGGAAATAACGAAACAAAATTTTGCACAAAATTCGAATTGAATTCAAAATCGAATTCGAAAACAAATTCGAAGTATAATCAAATTGCTGACTATTGCTGATTGCATTCAAAGACTATATGTATTAGTGTTAGAATATAGCTATCTTCCAAAATTCTAATTTTGAAAAGAATAGAACAAAACAGAATAGAATATATAAGAATAGACTAGAATCAAAATAAAGAGAATATAGCCGTCTTCTGAAATTCGAATTTCGAAAAGAATAGAATAAAACAGAATAGAAAAGAATAGAGTAAAACAGAATAGAATAGAATAAAAGATAATAGAATAGTAAATAAAAGAATTGAATAAATAGAAAAGAATAGAATAGAAAAAAATAGAATAGTTTAGAGTTGAATAGAATAGAATTTAAACAATATAACCATTTTCTGAAATTTGAATTTTAACCACTTCAAGTCTGGACACTTTTACCCCCTTCCTGTCCAGGCCAATTTTCAGCTTTCAGCGCTATCACACTTTGAATGACAATTGCGCGGTCATGCAACACTGTACCCATATGAATGTTTTAGCCTTTTTTGAGACAAATAAAGCTTTATTTTGGTGGTATTTATTCACCCCTGGGATTTTTATTTTTTTTTTGCTATGTAAATTAAAAAGTCCAAAAATTTTGAAAAAAAAAGTGTTTTTCTTATAAAATTTTGCAAATAAACAGTATTCCATCATAAATCTTGGCCAAAATTTATTCTGTTATCTTTTTAGTAAAAAAAAACCATATTAGTTTTTAACCAAAAAAATTATAATTTTAAAACATTTTTTTACATTTTTATTTTATTTTTTATATTATTATTTATGTGTTTTTTTTTACATACTTACCATGGTGACACTGTGCTACTTGTGGGGGGTGATGAAGATTTTTTTTTTTACACTGATTTCTTTTACACCCATAAAGGATGTAAAAGCAATCATTTCTCCTTCTCTCTGGCTGCATTCTTGCAGCCATTAAGAAATACTGTGTGAGCTGTGAATGGTCACAGCTTGTCACATGGTACAAGGCTATTGTGAATAGCCTTGTACCATGTGACCTCTGTGAGCATTCACAGAATTCACACATAGTAAACAATAATGCCAGAAGTGACATCTTGCTTACTACTCTGCATGGGATCACTGATTGGCCCAGGGTGCGCGCACAAGCAGGGTGCAGGGAGGCCGTTTATAAATGGGCACCCGACCCTGCACTGCCACCGTCCAGCCGTTTATATACAACGGCCGGACGGGAGGTGGTTAAAAAGAAAGAATAGAAAAAACAGAGTAAAACAGAACAGAATAGAATAGAAAATAATAGAATAGAAAAGAACACAGTAAAACAAAACAGAAAGGAATATAAAATAAAAGAATAGAATAAAATAGAATAGAAAATAAAGTAATAGAAAAGAATAGAATAGACAATAAAAGAATACAATAAAACAGAATAAAATATCAAATAAAAGAATAGAATAGAATAAAATAAACAGAATATAACCCTCTGCCAAATATTAGAATTTCGAGTTTCTAAAACAATAGAACCAGCTATTCTTCACAATGAATTCGGATCAATCCAATATTTGTGATCCAAATTCGATTACTTTGAATCCATTGGGAAAATTTGAATCAGGTAGAAAAAGAATAAAAGAAACAAATTTTGTTACGAATGCAGCAAAACGAAATTAGTATCGATATGAAACAAAACAAACTTTTTTGTTCTGCACATGTCTAGTTTACTTACAGTTTAAGTTACTGAAGTCCACTATATTTATTAGAAAATTCAGGGGAGGTAAAAAAAAAAGAGGCACACACTAATGGTTTATATAAAGGATAAATCTATGCAAATCTGACACTTTGGAAGGATTTCATGTCCTGCTTGCACTGGAGGTGTTTGTCTTCCATGTCTTATACTCATTATACACAATACCATTTGATAGTATGATTCCTTTACAATTGGCAATATCTATATAGAGCAAGGGCCTGCCTAACTGTAGATATATATTAAATGAACTGTCTAGACCGGGGTAATGAATTGAAATTCAAGGAGGTCCGGTCACTAAAATTTCCTTCTGGCCAAGGTCCGAATAGGGTGTGCCCATTAATGTGCCCCCTTACATTAGGTGTCGCCATCAGAGTGCAACATTACATCATGTTTTCCCATCACATCAGGTGTGCCCATCAGAGTGCTCCTTTACATCAGCTGTCCCCATCAGAGTGCCCCTTTACATCAGGTATCCCCATCACATTGCCACCTTACATCAGGTATTCCCGTTAGAGTGTCCCCTTACACTCAAAGTACCCCTTTCTATCAGATTTTCCTATCAGAGTGCCCCTTTCCATCATACTCCCCATCAGAGTGCCCCTTTTCATCACACTTGCCCATCAGAGTACCCCTTTCAACAGTATGTGCCCATTTGTGTCCCCTTAACATAAAATGGGCCCGTCAGAGTGCCCCTTAACATAAAATGTGCTCAGCAGAGTGCCCCTTAACATAAAATGGGCCCGTCAGAGTGCCCCTAAACATAAAATGTGGTCATCAGAGTGCTCCTTAACATAAAATGTGCTCAGCAGAGTGCCCCTTTCCATCACACGTGCCCATCAGAGTGCCCCTTAACATAAAATGGGCCAGTCAGAGTGCCCCTTAACATAAAATGTGTCAGTCAGAGTGCCTCTTAACATAAACTGTGCTCATCAGAGTGCCCCTTAACATAAAATGTGGTCATCAGAGTGCCCCTAAACATAAAATAAGGAACATGCTGATAGGCACATTTATATTAAGGGGCACTCTGATGAGCACATTCATATTAAGGGGCACTCTGATGAGCACATTTATATTAAAGGGCACTCTGATGAGCACATTTATATTAAGGGGTACTCTGATGGGCACATTCTATGTTGTGTCCATCAGAGTGCCCCTTAACATTCAATGTGCCCATCAGAGTGCCCCTGTAAGACTACACCCTACCTTGAGGGCAGACAGGAGCTGTGCTGGGATCCTTGCTGGGCGCTTGTGTACAAGCAGGGAGTGGGAGCCGGAGAGACAGTGAGCTGAAAGGGGCGGGGCGTACATGTGATGTCATGTTGCCATGATGACTACCCTGCATAGCGGCGGATCTGTCATTGCGGGCTGGCGGGCTGGAGGTCCGGGCAGCAGCGCTGCTGGGGCCGTTCGTGGACCGCGGTCCACCATTTAGTGACCGTTGGTCTAGACTGTCTCGCATTGCTTAGTTTTATTAAAAACTAAACAAGACTGTACAGGGATTGTATATTCAGACTGTAGCCCATATGGCCAGCTGTAGAGCATTCAGGGTAAATGGGAAAATCCCTTGGACAACTATTAGATACTGTGTGATGCCTGCATTGTGATCAAGTAATAAAAGGATGCATTCTCTATTGCAGCTCTTCTCCGAGAACCATGTTTCCACGAGAGGATGGAATGCCGCTGTGCTCAGGGCTATGGTTGTCAAACAACAAGTTGTACAGAGTGCAATGAATTGCAAGAGTGCAAGAGTGGAGAGAGGCTTAGAATATCAGGTAATAATGTTTGCCTATTATCATGTCATTGCTAATGCTCTGCAGTGCTTATACAATTTAATTTTGCTTTTCTACATTCAAGTTATATTGTAGTAATAGATATCTAGTACATGGTAATGTTTCTGCTTCATGTAATGGTAGGGTGGTGGTTGTCTGTCACATCCTCCATGTATCCCTCTTCGTTGGGCACCAAACAAGGCTCACATGAGAAGCCTACCCCAGGTTCTTCTGAGCTACACTAGACACCTTGTATAGGGTCTCTCTCTCACACTTCACACACATGGGGTACCTTTATTTTAGAACCATTTTCACCAATGCTCTGGGACAAGGTTGAGGTTGCCATCAGTGAATACTCGACCTTAAGGCGGGCCTCTACTCTTAGAGATGAACGTACACCACGTACATTTGCACAACAGAGTTCTTCAGTTACTCTCAGGTCCCCATGTAAACGTACATCTTTCCACTGTAGCTTGCAATTAGGCGAGCCATGCCAAACACTGACCACAGCCACCTGTCCAGCATTTCAAACTATCGATCCCAGTAGCAGCATGGAACCCTGCCATGCACATAGTGCGGACTCTAACGTGCACTTGACTTTAACTCTTGAACTTCGTACCTCTGTACAGGATGGGGATCTCTGCAGTGCAGTTCCAGTCCGTTTGCTATACGAGTCAGAATGTGGCATAGGGAGTGCCAACAACATCTCCCTCACAACTAGAAGCAATTCCACCTATAACAGGCACATGTTCCTACAGGCTACTTGCTAGCTGTTCCTTCTACTTTTCATGGCAACTTTCACTATAACAACTCTTTACATGCTGATTCTTCATACCCCATGTGCTAGTGACCCAAGCTGTAGACTAAGTGCAAAGTTGTGCCGATTACTTGCATCCCTTTGAGGAACTTCAGACCAGGCAAAAGGCAAAGTTTCAACGCTTCACTGAATAAAGTGTAGAAAGTACAGAGTCCAGCATGACACAGTCTTTACTTAAGTCCCTAATCCCTAATTCTTCTCAGGCTATGTGATGTCCTAGCATACCTGCAAAGGTAGAGTCCATGAAATTACAGAGTCCATCAGAGGCATTCTCCAGCAGCTGGTGTCTTTGGGGCAAACCCCAAGTTCTGACAACTTTACATTCAAGTAGTAGAGAGTGACATTCTGGTACTCCTCCCGGGTGCAGAGCTCTAGTCCTCTCCCTTACAGGGTTCTTCCTTGCAGGCTCTCGGCTCTTCTAATGGAAAAAATATATCTCTCTTCCGAACCACTGTCCCTCTTTTATATCACAGGCTCAGTGGGTCGGACTTAGAGATATCCCAACAAAAACTAAAGAACCAGGAAAGGCATTAACCCCTAACGTCCCCTTCTGGGGCAGCATCTTTCTAGCTAATTTCAACCTGCTTATATGCATTTTGTTGAAAAATAGAAAATAACATAATACAGACATGCTGACGTTTCCACAGTCATGCCATTTAATCCTCACACTCTACCTCTCCCCTCCCCTCTCCTCGATTTGAATTGAACTTTACTTTTGAATATTACAAAAATGATGTGACGCGATGACAAACTCTAGTTTTGTACCCTCTATTCCTCTTCTGCCTCTCCCCTTTTACCTCCTCCTGTCTTCTGTCACCCCCTTCTACCCATCTACCCACCACCCCTTCCTTTGGCTTGTATGTTTTTCTAATCATAATTGAGTCAAAGAAATGCACGTATTTGTTTTTTTTTTTTAAAAAAAACATTCAATATAAACCTATATGCACAATACATGCCATGTCACATCAATCCATGAACATTATTTATTCTAAATTTGGTTCTAGATATCAACTCCAGCTTTTACAAATATGACTGTGAAAAATGTCCATCTGGAACAACTTTAGACATGGAAAGCGGACAGTGCAAACCTAGTGAAATGTAAGTTATTCATATTGTATTGATGAATCCTGACAGGTCTTGGTACACTGGTTTATCAAATACAAAGACATCAGGAAATGCTTCCTGGGATTAGAATAAATTCAAGCTTCTGCACCATATAAAATGCCTTTCAGTTTTACATGGCAGGTCATTTGTTAATTACTTTATACAATAAAAAATGTATCACACAATTCTCCTCTACTGGGCCTCTCCAACACAGAATTGACCATTCTGGTCAACTTCCAGAGATGTCAACCATGCAGGAGCTTTCACCTCCGATCCTTTGTTACTTTTTCAATTTGCAGGAGTAACATAGTGATGGTGTAGAACTGCGAGTGATTAATAAGAACTGCTAATCCTTCTTATCACAAATAAATTGCAGCAAGTAGGAGTTTTATTGAACATCTGTAATGTTTAGAACTTGCAATATGTAGTGACAAGGTCTCTTAAATAAGATATGTCACTTTAAAAAAATCATTTTCTTCCATTATTTTTAAACAATTTCCAACATTTCCCAGTTTTCCGAGCTACATGTCTGTTGTAATACAATTCTTAAATCAACTAGGGATGAGGTTTGGGTTTTCCAAAGTTTCCAAATTACAGGGTGTGTTGTTAGACTGAGTTTTGAATTCACCAATGTGCATTAATTTACAGTGCATTTTTAGGCCCCATTCACAGTCCTTTGGACTGAGAGACTGATCGATGTTTCACTGTGTCCGGAGGACACCGGGGGCACCGGATCGCGGTGCTGCGCGCTTCCAGGGAGCGTGCACAAGCAGGGGTCGGGGAGGCCGTTTAAAAAATGGTAACCAGCCCTACACTGCAACCATCTGGCCGTTTATATACAACGGCCGGATGGGAGGTGGTTAAAGGAGAGATTGAAAATGTGAGTGAGAGAGCATAGGATAGATGAAGAGGGTGACCATAGTAGTTGTGAGGGAACAGGATCCAGGGGATAATTGCTTAGGTGAGCATCTGAGAAAAGTTTGGTAACCTCTTCAGTAGTAGCCAGTTCAAAAGAGGAAAGCGTTGACTGTGCTGTTAGACAAGGTATGTTAAGTGGGGAAGATATCTGTATAGTGGATGTGTCCTCACATATCGCATCAGTCTTGTCTTTTAAGTGATTGGCAATCTCTTGGGCAGTGAGTGAGTTAGTGAGTAAAGGGGGTGGAGGACAAAGCAGAGAGTTAAAGGTAGTGAATGGCTGACAAGAACTGGATGAAAAGATATTAATAAGAGAGATGAAGTAGGTTTGTTCGGTAGCATGGCAGCAGGAATTGTATTTTAGGAAGGCAGATTTGTATAGGGTGAAGTCCTGCAGGGATTTGGTTTTGTGCCACAGTCATTCAAGAATACGGCAATGTCTCTTGAGATTTTTGGTGTTGTCAGTTTGCCAAGGGTGCCTGATTGCCATCAGGGCCTGATTCTTCGTGTAGTTAGAGGAGCAAGTGCGTCCAGTGAGGATGAAAGTGAACTGTTGTTGACAGCGGGGTCCAGGTTAGGACAGGAAAGGGGAGAGCTTTTGTCATAGAGGTGGTCAGTAGCAGAATAAAGAAGAGAAGGGTTAAAGTGGTGAAGGTTTCTACAAGTAATCGTTTGCTGTTTGGAGGGGTAGGTGGTTGGAGACAAGGATACTGTGAAAGTGATGAGAATGTGGCCAGAGAGAGGAAAGGTTGTGATGGTGAGGTTGCCAGGAGTGCAAGCATGGGAGAATACAAGGTCAAGGTTATTATCAATGGAGTGAGCGGAAGTGTGTGTCCATTGTGTTAGGTAAAAAGATGAGGTTAAGTTGAGAAGTTGAGCTTTAGACAGATTGTTAACAATAACAGAGATGTTAGGATCACCAAGAATGATAGTTTGTGTTTCAGAGGAGAGAAAATAGGGTAGCCAGGCAGAGAAGGCACCAAAAAAGCGTAATAATGGTCCAGGAGGCCAATAAATTATTGCAATCCTCATAGAAATTGGAGAAAACAGATGAATACAGTGCATCTCGAAGAAAAGAGGAATAGAGAGGGAGGTGTAGGAAGGACTTGGAAGGTGCTCTTTGGGGATAGAAGGAATCCAACTCCACCTCCTTTCCGTCCATTAGGTCTGGGTAACTCCAGTACAGGTCACCATGGGAGAGGGCAGCCGGAGAAACTGAGTCAGAATCTTGAAGCCAGATTTCAGTTATGGCAAGTATGTTAAAGAAATGGGAGATAAAAAGGTCGTGCACAGATGTGAGCTTGTTACAGAATGACCTGGCATTCCAGAGGGCACATGAGATTGGGGGGGTGGGGGTTTTGGAAGCAGGGGGATAGAAATTAAACTGAGTAGATTGTGGCTGTTGCCAGAGGAAGAAGGGTGCCAGATATAGGGTTTGCAGTTAGAAAATGGAGGGCCAGGATTGGGGGAAATGTCCCCAGAGATTAGGAGAAGGAGGGTGAGAAAAGTAAGATGGGAGCGGAATATATATGAGCGCACATATTTCACTGCCCTGGTGTTTGTGTCAGCATCTGGGTTCAGTATTTGCAAGAGGTGATGTGTAGAGTAAAAGGGAGAGGGTAGGAGTGAGGGTGATATGTATAAGCTGTGGGTAGGGGATGAGGGGTAAAATAAGGACAATTTGAGGACGGAGAACACTAATGTGAGAAAGAAGAGTACAGAGAGCATGTTAGTGGGAATCAGGCTTCATAGGAAAGGAAATATCAAATGTTGATTTGCTTGCCATCCTTCCAGAGTGAAGCAGAGTTCTTGTTGTATCTTCAGACAGCTTTAGTTATCCTGCTTTAGTTAAACTGCGGTGTTGAAACTGTGACAACACTTTTTAAAGAAACACTCATGAAAGAAACATGGTGTCTGTGCCTAACCCGTCTGTAACTTCTCCATTAGCTGAACTAAATTTATAGGGAGATGAGGCTGGCAAACATTTGTCACTTTGTACGCCGTGTACCGGGGTGGGCTCCCCAGGATACAGTGAAGTCACGAACGAGGAAAGCAACCCCAACATCAGCTTTTGTCACAACAGAATTTTACTTAGATGTGGCAAATAAACACAACCACAAATGCTGGAAACATACATAAATTTACATACACCCAGCCCAAAGGCTGAGACCCTTGTGCTGCACAGCACGGCGCCTTCTGATGGATGAAGGTAGAAAGTGAAGTAATTTACCTACTGGCGGGCACAAATAAGCTGCCACACCTTACCTATTATTACCCTAAAAGAGCAGGAATCAGTGTATGGGTGTACGGTATGGGCTAGCCTGTGGTGCAGCACAACAGCTTACAATCTTACACAGATCTACAGTATTCCTCCTCCCATAACTGGTCCTGTAGCACGTGCCTGAGTATTCCTTCTGAGCAAAACGCCAGTCTGGCTTGAGTTTGTAGGATTTTATCAGCTCTCTTATGTGAAATGTCACTTTAAGTTGTGGAGTCCTTCCAATAATCAGTAACAACACTTGTGGCCTGACACAGAGACCCTAACTAACTATAGGCCTGGACTCAGTCTCAAGGCGCCAACACTGAAATGAGGTGCGTGCACGATCTTACCGACCCGGGTCTGCTTTGCATCCGCTGATGACTCTGAACAGAACAAATGTCTCTTCAACAAGCATGCGGTCTTGCTGTATATGTTGCTTAGTTCCTCTGCTCTCATCAGCTTCCTGGCAGCAACCTCATCAGCATTCCTGGCAACAATCTCATTAGCTTCCTGGCAGCAATCTCATCAGATCACACGGCCCCTTCATTCAGCATCGTCCAAAACATGGCTGCAGTCTCCTCTTCCTGTTCACTAAACTCCAACTCTGAGTGCAAAACCCCACCTCTTCATGAATATACAAATATCTATGCAGTCTGAGCCTGTGTTAGAAAAACAGTGACATCTTGTGGCTAAACCGCAGAATGTCAGTCAAAACATTAATTTACTTCCACACAAACAGTGTTCAAACAATGAGAGCTGTTTCCCCATCTCACAACTTGATGAATTTAGGCTCTGATAACAGACACTTGAAGGGAAGGGGGAGAAAAAAAAAAACAGACCAGCCACAGACACAGGCCAAAGTCATACAAGGTGCTTGATTCTTTGATTATTACGGTAAAAAAAGGAGGTAAGAATCAAATCACCAAGTAAATAGTTAAAGGATATTACATACATACATTTACCACATAGCATAGCAGTGTCAATTAGCAGTCATACATGGTATGGAGGGAGTACAGATGGATATTCCTCACAGACATTTACCATGTAGCATAGCAGGGACATATAGCAGCAATACATTAACAGTCATACATTGTTGGCACCTTTGTTATGACATTTTTATTTTCTCATAAAACTGTTCTTTGGTTTAATCTTCCCCATCTTGTGTGGGTGCATGGAAACTGATCAAGATATTAAAACACTTCCTACTCACTTCCAATTTGCATTGTGCTACCCTGCGTTGATAAAAATAAAGTTTACAGAAAAATATTGGGTTAGATATTAGTTATATGCAGCAAAAAGCATGTTTTACTACAGTAGTATGAGTGCACATATTCTCTTACTGGGCTAAAGTCAGTCAAATATGGTTTATTATCAATATATGTTATAAAACCGATACCAAACTTTCTTTATCAGATATTACTGTAGAATATTGTGTACCCCAATATGATTTATTTCCAGTGCTTCATATCTAATTTCCAGTAGAGATAAAATGTTTTTCTTCTGTTACTTGTTTCCATTGTCTCAATGCTCCCAGCCCTATCAGATTGAAGAATACTAATAAACATATAGATGTGCTTTGTCACCCTGCTCTAGTGGAACCGCAGACAATTGTTTTCTATAATGCCACTGTAACGGTACCCCCGTAGAAGCTGCTTGTGGTATGCCCAAGATCCTCTTTCCCAGTAGATGCCCTCCAGCCAGGCACACATGTACTTTCTCTCTCTCAGATCAAGAAACAGTATAGGGTTGTTAGTTTTGAGATATTTTAACAAAGCGTTGAACTTGAATAGGGATTATGGAAGATAGGATACTTCAATAATGCTATAACAAACTTTGAGGACACAAAGACTTGCTTCCTGAATCTCAGAACTCTTGTAACTTTGAACACTGTCCCTGTGTAGCAGAGAATGGACAGGTTCTAGTATTGAGAAGGTTGAGCCTCCCTCTGTAGACAGTCAAAGCAACAGCCTCTTCCCAAAGAATGGATATGTTATGCTCTTCAGGACATAACATCTTAGCAAAACATATGGCTGGCTTCCTAGCACACAATAGAGGTGATAGCACTCTAGGATTTTTCCCTGCCTGCACTTATAGAAGGCCTCTGGGTAAATGGTGGCCTTCTACCAGTATCCCGAAGGCAACATCTCCCAGGCACACAGGCTCATTCACACATTTCTTCAATGACCAGTCTAGGGGTGTTGTTTTTATTCTTGGAGAACTTGGATAGGGATTTAGAATTAGGTGGGATACTCCAAAAACAGAAACTAAGTAGATTTGATAAGGTATGACAAAGTCTGTGCTTGAAGCAAACACTAGACTTCAGCATTAAGGTAGTAGTAGTAGCTTTAGCACTTGGACTTGAACTTGAGACATTTTAAGGTAGGAGGTTAAGTGGACAAAACTCTTCAGAACACCAGCCGGAGTCCCCTTTAGCCTAGACCCACTGTTGACTCCCTAGCAGCAGAGGGGGTAAGTAGCACACACTCTCTAAAATCCTTTATAGGTGTCTGTACTCACAAGGCTCAAGAAAAGATGGATGCCTTCCTCCATGATACCAGACCAGATCTTCAGTAGACAGCTCCTCAGTCAGTTTTAGTAGAACCCAGGGCTCAGCATTCAGACCCTCGGGTTACCCACCTGAGGCCGCACAGCAGTATTTCCTTGGGAGGGCAATGTGCCCTCTCCCAGGCCGGAACAATCCTATACAGGAAAAACCCAGAACTCAATGTGCTCACTTTATATATACAATTACCCAACATGCCATCAGAGCCAGTCTCTCTGGGATAGGCTGTGGATTTATCAATATTCATGCTGTCATCTGCATAGCTCCACACCTATCATCCAGAAAACTTCTCAAGCTCCCTGGAATGCAGAAGTTGCTGTCAGGCAGGCAGCAGCTGAGCAAACTGAGCAGACCCAACTAGCAGAACACAGCAACACTGATTACAGTGTGCAAGTTATGCTTTTACCTAGCAACAATTATATCCACGGTGTCTACAGTGTGACAATTAAATGTACCTATCAAAATACAAACTAAATCTAACTGTCTAAACCTAGCACCTATCTAGGAGGGTGCTACATTGGGAAATACCTCTGTAGGTGGGATGGTTTCCACACAACAGAGTGTAGGCTCCTGTATTCTTTTTTAATTGAAGCTAACTACACCAAAGGAATCCCTTTGTAATATTGCTCCTGAGTTTTGGGTGGCACTTATTTCCTGTATCTGCCATTACACCATATATCTGCAGACATTTCCGCCGTTCACTTGTGGACCCAACTGAAAGAGCAGAGGATTCATTCTCTCCATACAACCTGGAATTCTATCCCACCCCCTATGCCTATGTGTGCCATCTAAGTAGAGAGAAAAAAAGTATTTGCTAGAAATCTTGCAACATCTCACCGTGCTTACAGGAGATTTCCCAGTAAGGCACTGAGTGGAGTAGTCTTCCCAAATGCATTTGTGAGGCCCTGGTTATATCACCAATGCATCTAAAGACCAGGAAGTACCAGGAATTTCAATGTAGTTAATTGTAAGTAACAGCCAAATGTCTTTTATTTACCATAGGAAAAAATGTGATGCCAGAATTCAGGGCTGCATGTAGCACTGTTTTTTTTCTTTTGGGGGAAAAGGTCTGCTTTAACATGATATATATGATATATGGAGGTCTTAAGAATTTTGTTCATATGGTTAGCATTTTGCTTTATTTTCACAGGCCTGCTACTACCCAACTAAATCCTACCAAATGGCCCCACCACCAAAATCCCTACTACTGGAAGCAACAGTAAGTAAATAAAAATATATTGTTTGTCTGTTTGACTCAGACATCATTTATTTCCATGAAAAACGTCAGTGATACGAACAACATCCCACAAAGAGGGCACAATTGCAATTGAATTCTGCTTATGAATTTTACAGAGATAGATTAAAATTGCATAATTTCATTCATGATGTAAGTAGAGCAGCGGCAGCTAACTGGTGATCCTTGCAGGTTGGTGAAGGTCCAAGGTTATTACCGGTGTTTCTGCTACCTTCTTCATTTTAATTTCTTTGATTTCATAAAGTCTATCATTTCAAAAAAATCTATTTCATGTATTAAAACTTCAATAGATAAAACGTTTTAAAACTGTATTCCAGGTATGGTTTGTAATGCATAGTTGGACCAGTGTAAGTATGCAGATTCCATACTTGTGGAACCGGAAAGCCACTGTAGCACTACTGCATTGATTACTGTGCACATCAACCACAGGGGGTCCCTCACTCGGCCACAACCGCCATTTATAGAACATCTCGCAATTTTCTCAATGAATGCAAATAATTCTCTGTTTGAATGAGATGGAGATTGTGATATCACCACCCCATCTCTCCACCATGTCCAATCAGAGAACTCTTCAGCATGGGACCTAGGAAAACCAGGACAATCCCTTTAGTAGTGGTGACTACTACAGTGATTCCCCACTTCCACGTCAGTCCCACAGGTATGAAATATGTCTACTTCTATAACTCCAAACTAGACCAATGTAACTATGCAATAAAGCCATACCCAGAAGTCAGCTTTATTAATAAACTCCTTTCCCAAAATCTTTCTATATATCTGCTAATACATTATACTGTCCATGATGATGACATTTCTGCACCTATCCGCATGTTTTATAGCAGTGTCTTTACCCAAGGGCAGTTATTGTAAACCTTGCTTTTGTTTTCTATTTAAAGGGATCCTGTCACCACCTTAAAAAACTGCAGGTAAAAGCAAACAAATTGCTTACTTGTAGTGGTTTTTCCTTTCCTTAAATTATGTCTTATTCATTCGCTTTGAGCCTTTGAGCTTGCTAGAAAATTTGACTTCCCCAGGAAGAGTTCATTCCCTAGTGCAATCCTCTCCCTTCTTGCATGTCATAGCACTCTCCTCCTCTGGGAGTGTCTAATTACTGTCTGTGCTGGCCCAGCTTCTCCACTCTTACTCCCTACATAACTTTTAATATAGCTGCTGGGGGAAGGAAAAAACTGTAGAGTCTCACTTGATTCTGCTGAGGCTACTGGCATCGCATTGAAGATGGTGGAGCTCAGCAGCAGTCTTAGTGCCCGGTCATGGGAATTGAAATCGCACCTGAAATTGCATCTAATGAATGTCAATGTCAATGTCTTAACATTTGCTGCAGCGCGATTTCTAAAGTAGTTCTTGCATTACTTTTTCTGCAGTTTTGTTGCGATTTCATATACATAATGGAAATTGCTCTGCAAATTGCAAGAGCTCATTGAAAATCTTCACAAGTAGCAATAAAGTCTTCAGAAATCGCACCTGAAATTGTGCTGAAATTGCACACAAATCACGCGATTTTAAACCGGTGACTTAGGGTCCATTCACGGTGAGATTGTATTGGGTGGCTGTTTCAGCACAATCTCACCGCATAACAAGGCAAATGCTTGTCTCCTGTGTTTCCGGTCCACACCACTGCATTGCGGTGGTGTGCAGGCATGGTGCGCTGAAAGAAAGTACTGCATTCACCACTTTTTTTCAGCACAGTGCAAGGCACCGACTCACACCATGCGGCGGACAATTGAACTTTAACCACTAGCCTACAGGACACTTTCACCCCCTTCCTGCCCAGGCCAATTTCCAGCTTTCAGCGCTGTCACACCTTGAATGACAATTTCGCGGTCATGCAATACTGTACCCATATGAAAGTTTTATAATTTTTTGTGAGACAGATAGAGCTTTCTTTTCGTGGTATTTAATCACCTCTGGGATTTTTATTTTTTCTTAAACAAACCAAAAACCACTGAAAATTTTGAAAAAAAAAACGTTTTTTTCTTAGTTTTTGTTATACAATTTTGTAAATAAGTGATTTTTCTCCTTCACTGATGTGCGCTAATGAGGCTGCAGTGATGGGCACTGATAGGCTGCACTGATGGACACTGATAGGTGGCACTGATGGGCACTGATGAGGAGGCAATGGTAGGTTGCACTAATGGGCATTGACAGGCATCACTGATGGGCACTGAAAGGCAGCATTGATACATGACACTGATATATGGCATTGATAGGCGGCACTGATAGGCAGCACTGACTGGCACTGTTAGGCGGCACTGACTGGCACTGTTAGGCAGCACTGACTGGCACTGATAGGCGGCACTGACTGGCACTGATAGGCGGCACTGATGCGCACTGATAGACGACACTGACTGGCACTGGCACTGATAGGTGGCACTGATTGGCATTGATAGGTGGCACTGACTGGCACTGAGTGACATTGAAAGGCAGCTCAGATGGGCACTGATATGTGGCATTGATGTGCACTGGTATGCAATGATATGTGGCATTGATGTGGCACTGATGAGCACTGGCACATGGCACTGATGAGTACTGACTGCTGGCACTGATGGACACTGACAGGTGGCACTTTTGGGGCCACACTGATCATCAGGGCACACTGATCATCAGTGTCCTGATGATCAGTGTACATGTCCTCTCCGTGGAAAGCTGATTACCGACTCTCCTCTCCTCTCGATCTGTCAGCGTGACAGCTCGAGAGGAGAGAAATGCCGATAACCGGCATTTCTGTGTTTACATGTGATCAGCTGTGATTGGACACAGCTGATCACATGACCGAGCCGACATCTTCAGCTCTTTCCGTGATCCGCTGTGTCCGAGGGACACAGCGCACCGGCGATCGCCGCGCTGCACGCTCCCTGAGCCGCGCATGCACGGTGAGAATGGGAGGACATCATATGATGTCCTATCAGAACGAGAGAACCACCTTGCGCCCGTCATTGTACTATATGGCGGGCGGAAGGTGGTTAACCACTTCCCGTCCGGCCCGTGTACATAAACAATCGAACGAGAGCATTGCAGGAGCGGGTGGCTGTTTATAAACGTCCTCCTGCATTCCCTGCCTGTGCGCACTCCCTGTGAGCACACAATGAGCAGAACAATGATCGCTGTACGGGACCTCTGTGTGAGATCCCAATCATGTGATCACTGATTGGCCAATCAGTGATCACATGAACAGTAGTAAGCAAGATGTGACTTGCTGACATCATTTCTTACTTGTGAAATCTGTGAATGATCACAAAGGTCACATGGTACAAGGCTATTCACAACAGCCTTGTACCATGTGGCAAGAATGCAGCCAGAGAGAAGGAGAAATGATTGCTTTTACAGCCATTATGGGTGTAAAAGCAATCAGTGTAAAAAAAAAAAAAAAAAAAATCTTCATCGCCCCCACAAGTAGTACAGTGTCACTATGGTGACACTGTGCTGCTAGGATGACAGTATGTAAAAAAAACCCATTAATAATATACAAAAATAAAATAAAAATGTAAAAAAAAAATTTTGAAAAATTATAATTTTTGGTTATAAACTAATTTGTTTTTGTTTTACTAAAAAGATAACTGAATACATTTTGGCCAAGATTTATGAAGAAAGATAATTTTTTTTGCTAAATTTTATAAGAAAAAACACTTTTTTTTCAAAATGTTTGGACTTTTTCATTTATATAGCAAACAAATAGTGGTGAATAAATACCATCAAAATAAAGTTTTATCTGTCTCAAAAAAATGGACCCTTAGAGCTTTGGAAAGTGTACCCTTGGCTTTTGCAGGTAAATAACATATATAAAAAAGTTAAATGCACAAATATTCTTAAATATATTTTGTGTCTAAATAAGTGTTCTAACAATAGGGTCTCTTTAAATGGCCTAATGTGCTATTGGAGATATGTTATTGATGCCTTTGGAAACTTAATAGTAGCCTCCCGAGTGTAGCTCGAGGTAAAGTTTCAGTACCACAAGCGGTAACCCCGAGCTACACTCGGGCTTACCATGCGGCGCTGCTCCGGGATCTGTTCTTCTATTACCTTGTCCTGCGCTCCCGCGATGTCCCTCCTGCAGTGTTCCCTGTAATGTAATCCAGCGGATGCCGGCATTTGTCATCTGGGTTCCATCCCCTGCGAGCTTCGGGACGTACAGGGGATAGAACTGGCGGGAAATTTGAAAATGACAAAAAGTGACATTCACTAAATACACTAAAATCACATAGTAAAACATTACTGTATCAAACCATTTCACATACATTTTGTCCCGAGTGCTTTGTCCTGCGCCCTGCCTACATTTTTACTGTTCTTATTGCCTGGAAACTGAGAAATGTCCATGGCGTCCAAAAAGCGTCCCTTTAGGTCAAAAGTGGTTTTAGACCAGCTAGAGAACAGCGATAGTAAATCAGAACCAATTGCAGAATTGAGTGATAATGATTCATGGGGGAAATTCATCATCAGACACTGAAATCGATTTTGCGACTTTGCTCAGTGATGTGCGAACTTGGCGCTATATTTCAAATTTCAGTGATTTTGGTTTGATTATATTATTGAATTAAATTTATTATTATATAATTATTTTTTATGATTATTTATTAAATTATCATTTATGATTTCGTGTTTCAAATTGGAACATACCCGAGATGTTTACTAGACTCTTGTTCGGACAGATTTCAGCGAGTTATTCTTAAAAATTACAGCCTACAATAAAAAAAATACATATTTCTATGCAAAAAAAGGAACCGCTTTGAGCACAGAAATATGGACATAATCAGACTGCTAGGGAGGTTAAAGAACTGCAATGTTAGAAGTGGACAACCCACAATCAACTGAATTATCATGAGATGCAATGTGTGACTTGCTTTTCATTATTTCCTTCTTGTGGTGTTGTACTTGGTGGGTGAGGAGGGTCCTGGTGAGCACCAACTGTCTTACAAGCTGAACGTGGCTTGGAATATTGGTGAATTTACATTCATTCAGAACAGGAACAATTTTTCTGTATACAGAGAGAGGAAGAGACTTGTCAATCTTCTTTTTGTGGTAACATGAAGTTAAAATCATATTTTCCGGTCTATCTGGACAGTCCTAAAGTGGTTTGTAGAGGCTCACAGCCTACTTCCTGAACCTTTACTTGCAGCATGTAAGACACACTGGAAAATATACACATTTTCACAAAAAAACCCACAAAGTGTCTAAAGTCTTTCCTTCCTCTGCTTTCTGTGCCATGTCCTAGTATGTTTTAGGAGTGTGTGAAAGGTGGGGCGCTCCTGCATATGTTTTGATGTAGCGTGTGACTGAAAAAACACTTTTTCACATTTTGATCTGTTTCTAGTGCTGTACGAGTTTTCATGTGTCTTCCCATGAATTATCAAAAATCATGTGTTCTCATGTCAAAAAGTAAATAATCGAGCACAGGTACATATAAGCGTATAGATAAGGTAGCTGCCAGCACCTCAGGGCATAGGTAACGGTCCCAATAGATGTATATAAATGGATAAAGTGGGCGGCACAGTGGCTTAGCGGTTAGCACATCTGCCTTGCAGTAAATAGGTCATGGGTTCAATTCTTGACCATGGCGCCTCCTGCATGGAGTTTGTATGTTCTCCCTGTGCTTGTGTGGGTTTGCTCCAGTTTCCTCCCACACTCCAAAGACATGCTGGTAGGTTAATTGGATCCTATCTAAATTGACCCTAGTATGTGTATGTATGAATGTATGTTAGGGACCTTGGATTGTACACCCCTTGAGGGTTAGGGACTGATGTGAATGTACAATATATATGTGTAAAGCGCTGCGTAAATTGACAGCGCTATATAAGAACAATAAAAAAAATAATAAAGTGCAGTGCTGTAGATATACAGTATATATAATAAAAACTGAAAATTCATATAAATATCAATGCAAAATACTCAAAGTGCTATTCAGTGCAACATGTGCAAAAAAGTGAATAAATAAATGTTTGTATATATCTCTCCAATCTCATCGGTAGAGAAAATGAGCAGAAATAGTCCTCAGATTAAAACATAATATATCCATGTGAACAAAGTGCAGATGTGCTCATATCCTTGGAGGGAATTCACCACCTCTGATGGTGTACACTCACCAGCAGGGGCAGACTGACAACTCAAGGGGCCCCCAGGCAATAGGGGATCATGGGGCCCCTGTGTCTTTGCCCAAACTCAAAAAAGCCTATGAAAAAGGTACCACGGGGCATCTCATTGGGCCCCCTACTGACCCTGGGCCCTTGGGCAGTGCCTGAGTTTCCAAATGGTCAGGCTGCCCCTGCTCACCAGAAATTAGATGTATACAAGCATTGGTTACAATCTGTCACATCTGGGTGCAGGAACAGAGAAGCAGCCTAGGGGTTAATCTTCCAGCATCCTCTAAGTGCCAATGGTGTGAGTATCCTTTGTCCTGGGGAAATAGCTCAACCACAGAAGCCAGAAATGATGATACTGCCAGATATGTTCCTGCACTCAGATGTGACAGACTGTAACCAATGCTTGAAAAAAAGTAAAAAAAAAATAATTTGAACAAAATTAAGAACTTGTTCAAATGTGCTCTGCTCCTGAAGAGCAGTTAACATTTGAGTTGTTCTTCAGAGAGCATTTAACAGTCAGTGAGGAGGCATATTGCCTCCTCACCACCTGCTTTACCCCTGCCTACCTAGCGCACCGCAACCTCGTGCTTGCAGAGCAGTGCTATTCACTGTAATAGGTCTTCGATGGGGCTATAATTTCTTCCATGGTTACAAAGCATAGCATAGCGTCCATGACATTTTAGCAAGAATATCATTTGATTTTTTTGGGGGGGGGGAAGGGCTGTCAGGTAGGTTGTACAGGGACTCATAATTTCTATAAGCAGCTCTGGTAGTGGTGCTGGGAGAAGGGGAGTGGGCTCCCTCTGGTGATGGTAGGTTGTGCTGGTTTGCTCCTCTGATGCCCACTTGCCCAGCCCCCAACAGGCTCCCAACAGGCCACAGACCAACACTGATCCCAGGGGTTGGGGACCTCTGCTATTAGGGGCACTTCACTTGCGGCCACGGAGACACAACAGAAAGTTAGAGGAAGCCTTCCAAAGTGAGGGTAATTTCCATCCTAGATAGTTGTCCTCAGGTTCCTCCTTAGAAGATTTCCCATTACCTAATTCTGGTGACAAATCTAAAATGTATGATTTCCTCGTTATTTTTGATCTCTGTTATTTTTGTTTTTTTGTCATGAAACGTCATACTTCTATCTTTCTTTTTCAGAGCCCAACAACTATAATACGTGGATTCTCATCTGCGTTTTGGTTATTTTTTTTTTATTCTTAATTACAATAATCATCCACCTTCTCATACACAGAATGAAAACAGCAAAATCTTTAAAAATGGAAGGTCAGTATCACGAATGCAAATACTTTTATTCACAAATGACATAACCACATGATTAAAAAACATACATATACTTCACAATTAGTATATTATTGGTGCCTTTCCAAAGATTGTTGTGGTCCCCCAACCATTACTGATAGTAGTGTTCCAGAGATGAAGGTTTCCTTTGCAATATTCTATGAACAGGAGTTGCCACAACATAGAGTGCTAACAGTCAGCTCAACATATTTTGTGACTATGGGCTTCTTCAGGATCTTTGGAAAAGGTATCTAGATGAGCAGAAGTACACAATCAATATACAATACAAAACAAACATGTATGTACATACATCAGTAGCGTCACTACGGTTGGTGTCATCTGGTGCGGTAAGTAGTGCACCGAGCAGGCTTGCCCCCCTTAGCCTGCCACAGTGTTCTGT